TGTCGCCCTGTTCTCCACCAGGATACCACCTAAGGCTCGAACTTCCACCGAACCATCACTTGAAACCTTGTGCTCCACCAGGACACCACCTGAGACCCGGACTTCCGCTGGACCACTACTTGAGACCTTGGGCTCCACCAGGCCACCACTTGATGCCCAGAGTTCTCCCAGAATTCTACCGACCTCCATCACCAGACAACGATCTTTCTAAACTTAGTCTCTTGCCGACTACGGTCCTTCTAACCTTCGTCACCTACTATGGTCCATCCGACCTCCATCACTATTCAACGATCTTTCTGACCTTGGTCTCCTGCGAACTACGGTCCTTCCAATCTCCATCACCAGACAGCGGTCTTTCTGGTCTCCATCCTGCCGACTATGGTTGTGTCGACCAAACAAATATGTTTATATTGTAACTCCCACCATGTAATGCGCTCTATATGATGTATATTTTTGTCATCAAGCCAAGGCCTTCTCCCAAGGAAGGGCCTCATTTATAATCGACTGCAAGTACTAGTGGATTCGTTCAAACTGGGCCAGGTCCCATGGTTTTTCCCCCTTTTTAGGTGTTTTCCACGTTAAAACTCTGGTGTCTCTTATGAACGCTTCACCCTCTCTCTTATCTGATTGTGTGATGGATCTTCGTACAATGCTAAGCCGTTAAACTATATATTTCTCTATCGCCGTGAATACTCCAGGACGCAACAATTATAGACAAACCTGATAAGATGAATATGATTCTCCCATGTATCTCTCGTTGAAGTTCATATCATATAATCTTAGAATATCTTCCAATGCTTGAATAATACTCTTAGCTTGAATAATACTCTTAGACTATCTATTAATCTGTTGATGAAAGTTGTACTTAATTGTAGTTTAGTGCTTAGACCTTGTTAAATGCCTCTCTACATCCTAGAGATAAATCTATCATCTCTATTAAAAATTATTACCCTTACTACTCTATGCAATCAGTTAATATGTCCTATATAGACTTATGCTAATTTGTCATTTGAATCAGCTTGTCCAATCTAAATAAAGTGTGTAGACTTCATCAAATGATCTAGTACAACCTAGATGGCATCTTTCCCTTGCTTGGATCTAGGAAATTCCGTAGCGAAATCCATTGTTACTTCTTTTAATTTTCACTTTGGAATAGATAATAGTTGCTAAAGACCTCCCGATTACTGATTTTATGCTTTCACTAGCTAATAGGTTTCACATTTAGCTGCAAAACTTCCAAATTATATTTCAATCTAAGAAACCAAAATATATCTTTCAAATAACTTTACATCTTACTTCTCTCCAAATGTACAATGTAACCTGAGTAAGGTTTTTCATGTAGAATTTCTCACCTAAAATCTTTAAAACTTGAAACGCATAGGCTATCCTTATAGAAGATGATCCCATTGATTTGATAAACAACTTAAAATATTTTATATCTATCTCTAGGATCCCTGGATTCTTTTTGTAGAATGGTTGAATAATTATCTGAGATAAGAAACTTGAATATTGATCGATAGAGGTAACCATTTCCAATTTTAACTTTTTCACATCCTGAATAAAAATAGTCATGGGAAGTGAGTAGAAGGCTCGACATCCCAGTTGACTTCCTATTTTAAGCATCTGCCACTATATTTTTTTTATCGAACTGATACTGAATAGTTATATCATAATTCATAATTAGCTTTAGCAACCTTCTTTATCTTAGATTCAAACCCTTTTGTTTAAAAAAGTACTTTAGACTATAGTATTAAGTAAAAATCTCAAACCTAACTCTGTACAAGTAATGCCTCCAGATCATCAGAGAAAATACAACAGCGACAAGCTCTAAATTATATGTTGGATAATTTCTCTTTTGCAACTTCAATTTATTGGAAGCATATATTATGAAATTCTCATGATGCATCAGAACTCATCTTAATCCCTTCAGTGAACTATCATTAAATTCTTGAAATCCCTTTGTACCTTATGGGATAATCAAAATTGTATTAGATTTCATATAATCCTTCAGCCTATGAAAGCTCGCCTAATAGTCAGGTATCCAGATGAAAGCTTTGACTTCTTTGTTGGTCTCATCATAGGTGCAAAAATATGTTAGTATCATTTCACAAATTTCTTATAATAACGAGCCAAGCCAAAAAAAACTCTATACTTCAGTTATGGTAATAGGTCTTGGCCAATAAGCAATAACTTAATACTTTAGGGGATCTAAAGAAATGTCTACACGTGCCATGGAAATAATATATATTACTGATCTGATCTAAGTACCATGTTTGTGTTTTGATGATAAAAAAAATTATTCTGTCTGATATTGCTTTATGTTATTTCTGTGATATTGTATTTTGTTATGTGTGTTCTAACATTTTGGGAATTCAATCCTCCAGTCACATGCAATTCTGATTAGCTCAAGACTGGGTAGACTAGGGTTATAGTATTTAATTTTTAATTTATTATATAAAATTTTCCTTTCTTGAGTCATATCATATATTTGGGTGGATATCTTTGCTAAGCAACTTTGCACACATAGAGGGGGAGATAAAAATACTTTTTTGAGAGAGTCTATTTTTTAAGTAATTCATATTGTACGATTTTTCTTTGTACTTTACGATATGTGTATCATATTGTATGCTTGTAATTCATACCGTATGATTTATTGTGCTTTGTAAAACCCTAGCTTCCAAAGTTAAGAAAGATTCTAATTATGTACTTATCATACAATATGATTTGGATCGTACTGTACGACCTAATTAAAATTTTTCTTAATTAATCTCCTAATATCAAGCAATTAAATCATGGGAAATTATTGTGATTAATCGTACTGTATGAAATAGTTCGTACGATACAATTGCTTGTGTATGAAATTGGTCGTCCCTTGGAACATGCCAAATAAAATCCATGATTTTTGTACTGATCGTACCGTACGATGTCTACAGTGCTGGAGGATCACCTGTATACGAAGTTGGACGTCCCAAGGATCATCCCAAATGAACATAAGGAATTTTTTCATATTGTATCGTTCAATTATTGATCATATTGTGCGATGTCTTATAAAAGTCGAATAGTTTGTTTGAACAATCTTGCTAGATGACTTTGAATTGAACTGATCGTATCATACGATATGTCTATCATACTGTATGAACAAAAGACGGATGGCTTGGAAATTAGAATTTTTTTAAGCCCTCTTTTTAAGAATTTCTAACACTCTTGTTAGATATCTTTTGTTGCTCTATCTTCTTGAGAGGGTGCTTGATGGAGATGAGGGCTTAGTGAGAGAAGAGAGGGAGATTTTGTGAGGGAGAAGTTGTGAGGGGATTCACAAGGTTGCTCCAAAAAAGAATCTTTTTTAGTAATTATAAGCGTCTGTCTGGAATCTCTGTGGCTCCAAAGAAGAAGTTCTTTAACAAAGATCATTTTTTACTGCTTTCTAAAATGACTTTTTATTAAAAAAAATTATCATTCAACAAATTTTGGTATATAAACTGCTTTAAAAAGTAGTAAGAAAGTTTTCTCAAATGAAGCCTAAGTCTCAAAAAGTGATATGGATGGATATGTGATATGCTAAAGGGTATAAATGAACTTTTAGAATTAGCTATACATTCAAAGGATTGTGACATGATAAGACATTGAATCACCCATGATGTCATGATGTGATAACACCTATTATGCAGAGGCGGAACTACCTATTATTTTCAGGGGGGGTGGCATGAATCAACGCGCGCCGCTCTTGTTTGTCGGGGGGGGGGGGGGGGGGGGGGGGGGCAAACTTATAAGTAACTGTTGACAGATATGTTGGGGGTCCAAGGAGGCAGCGCCCCCTAGTGGGGTTCGACCTGCCTGGTCAGGTTGCAGGGTCAAGGGGCAGCGCCCCTACAGGGGTTTCCGGGGGCAGCGACCCCGGAACAAATTTTGATTTACTATTTCTCTTTGTATAATATTCATCATTCCCTGACAATAACACCTATACCTAATGTGTTTAATTAACCATAATATTTCAAAACTTTTAGGGGGGCAATTGCCTAAAGACCATAATATTTTAAAACTTTTAGGGGGGCAATTGCCTAAAGACCATAATATTTTAAAACTTTTAGGGGGGCAATTGCCTTAAAACCCTTATAATAAAGACTAAAACATAGATTTATGAACAAATTATTTAAAAAATCATTTAAAAAAATTAATTTTAGGCGGTGGGGGCAATTGCCCCCCCTTGGACATAAGGGTTCTGCCCCTACTATTATGCAACCATCATGTTTTCTATGACTTTTGAATCCTTACCGGCATGTTGGGTACTAGAGGCATATTTATAGTACTATCTTGATCAACATATAAAAGAGGAGGATTGTATTAAAGGTTCATTTCTTTTTGTTTAGATCATGGGTTCTACTTCTTTTTTAAATTTCATTATAATCAAAAGAGCTCATACATGCTCTAGTGGGCATAAATTGAAATATTATTGCATGTGATCTCTTTTATATCCCTCTCCTTTTCTTTTCTTATTGTTAGATACTTATTCACACTGATCCAAGTGAGCTAATTCAGAGACTCCCACTTTGATTTCCTCCTTTGAGTCTAGATGGGGGAGCTTGAGCTCGAGTCTAACTCGAGTTTATATTGATGATTTTTGCTCATGAACTAGATGCTTGATTTGTACGCATCCATTAAAATCAGTGAAGAAGGAGATCTATACCCAAAAACAAAAAAAAACAAAAAAATAAAAATAAAAAAAAATTCTATTAGAGTTCCAAAAAGATTTGTTTCTATTAAGGTGATTCTATCACTTGAACGCATTAACCTTTTAATATTTGAACATAAGATATTCATTTATTTTAACAAGAAAGAAGTATGATTTTTTATTCAGATTTCAGGAAGAAAGCCATTATTATGTAATCGGATATTTAATTTGCAACTTCTAATATATTAACCTATACGTAGAAGTATTAAAATATATCAGTTCATAGGCTTTGATTTCCACAAAATATTAAAAATAATTAATGTAATTACAGGTTTCTCGACAAAGCTGCACTCAAAAGCGGCGATCGCCTGCTGGTAAATCCCTGCACGGTGACCCAAGTGGAAGAGACAAAGTTAGTCCTCGGCATGGCCATCATCTGGCTAACCACTCTCATTCCCTGCACAGTCTTCGCCCAAGTCAACACCCTCTTCGTCAAACAGGGTACTTCGCTCAACCGCTCACTCGGCGACGGCTTCCGCATCCCCGCCGCCTCTCTCGGCAGCTTCGTCACCATCTCCCTGCTCCTATCCACCCCTATATATGACCGTTACTTCGTCCCTTTTATGCGCCGCCGCACCGGCTGCCCGCGTGGCATAACCCTCCTCCAACGCATCGGCCTCGGCTTCGCCTCCCACATTCCTGTTACCGCCGTCGCATATTCCGTCGAACTCCATCGCATGCGGGTTATCAAAACCCATCACATTACCTCACCAAACGCCGTCATACCAATGAGCATCCTCTGGCTTTTGCCTCAGTACGTTCTTCTCGGCGTAGGCGACGTTTTCAACGGTATTGGATTGCTGGAATTCTTCTATGACCAATCGCCGGAGGACATGAAGAGCCTGGGCACTACTTTTTTTACCAGTGGGATTGGAGTGGGGAATTTTTTAAATAGTTTTTTGGTGACCGTTGTGGATGAGTTGACGAAAAGGAGATCGAAGGGGCGTGGGAAGAGTTGGATAGGTAATAATTTGAATGATTCGCATTTGGATTATTACTATGCGTTTTTGCTGGGGTTAACGGCGCTAAACTTCGCTGCTTTTGTGTGGCTGGCTGCAAGGTATGATTATAAGCAGGAAGAGGCGATGCCTGATGAAGGGAAGATGGAGAGCAGAGGAGGCGATGAGAGCTCGGTGGCCGTTGGCGGGGCGGCACTGTAGATGTAAACGTGTGAACATTTTCTGCTCGTGTGGTTATAACAAGTCTTCAAGGGAGTGTGCTTGTGCTGTGGTTTAAATGATTTAAGTAATTGATGAACACTAATTAAATGGATTAATGTTTTTCTATAATCAAATAAATATAAGTTTTATTATTATGTTGATAGGGTTGTAAACAAACTTCACGTCTGACAAACCACTCAAGATTGGGCTCGATAAAAGTTCGTTGTTGATTGTTTAATTAAGCAATCAAACAAGTTTGAAAGTTTTATTAAGTATCCGATGCAAGCTCTTGAACATGTCCGATATGAAGCTCAATAAGAAGTTCATTAGGAGCTCATGAATATACTTGACACATCATACTTCATATTTGACCAAAATTTATCAATTTTTAAGTAATCGTATAATATGTTAATGTTGCAGCTGTCAAAATATCCGATATACAAGACATACGTCAAGCCATTTTAGTTTAACCTTTATTTTTCTAAAGCATTTTTATTTTCTTCTTATATTTAATAATCTTCCTCAGCTTTTCCTTTATAATAACATCATGCATTATTACTGATCTGTCATCAAACGGTCACTTGAACGAGCAGGAATTTAAATGCATACTTGAGTTAAAAAAATTAAATTAAATTATTCATGATCATTTAAGTTGTAATGTTAGCAAGCTTATAGTCGAATTGAATGATTCAACGAGACGAATTAATTGGCATCAAAAGTCATCCGATCTAAGTCCAGATATGCCCATATTAAGTACTTAAAAGTACAATTACAAATTTTGGAATATTTCTTGGAGGATAAAATCATCTTGGAATATTGCATGTTTATAATCAAATTGAACATCTTGGTGTGATTAATTTGATGAGCCCAATATTTCTTAATTTCTATATCAATAATATCCTTTAATGCTAGAAGAATATTCAATGAGTAAAGAAATCACGTACTATGGGTCATCCGGTAGAATATTGTGAATTTTGGCTTTATTTATGAGGCATGACACTCAAAATTTATTAATAGGCCCTAACTCTCAACTTGAGAGAGAGCCCTTTATCTAAGATTCCAAGAGCTCAAATGCTTAAAGAATCTTGAAGTTTCATCAAACCACTATATTGACCTCATTTTTATATGAGGTCACAGGGACCCATCCAAATTTCTACCCATTGACCTAATGTTTGACAAGCATCTAGGTGTTAATCATCTAGACTTCAATCCAGGATTCAATTTAGACTTTAATTCAATCTCAATCTAAATGTTAATTCAAAATCCCAAACTATAATCTTAAACCCATACCTCAGCTCATACTTCAAATCCAAACTCCAAATCCAACTTCAAATCAATACTTTCAATCCAGACTTCAATCTTTCAGACTTCAATCAATTCAAAATCAATCCATACTTCAATCTTTTAAACTTCAATCAACCCAGATTTAAGTCAATCAAGCCTCCTTTCAAACATAAATTCTACCCAATCATTAATAATCATTCAATTAATTATAATTGATTTAGATAAATCAAATTCAATCATTCAAATCCAAAACCCAATTCAAATTCAAAAATTTAGACCAAAATTCCAAGTTAAAGGCTTATGTCATGAAAGCCTTTTTGAGGGAATTTTCAATCATTTCAAAACCCACTTAAATGACCTCTGATTCATGATCTATGAATTACATATTGATTTGGTATGTCCCTAGGTTCAACCCTCTAAATTTGAGCTCAATCTGAGATCTATATGCCTAGAAACTAAATATTTTTCCAAAGGCTCTAAAGCCTTCAAATATTTACATCATATGCCACTTGACATTCCATCTTATGGAATTTGACCTTGGAACCTTCTCCAAGAACTTTGTTATGAAAGTGCTCTGATAGCACTAGAAAGTTCGTTAGGGATGTTAAGCCCTATGAACTTAGTCCCAAGCTAAGCAAGTGGGGGGGTGAATTGGATAAAAAAATTCTTTACACAAAGAAATAAAATCACAAACCAAATCACCACAAACAAAGTGCGGAAATTAAATAAATGTGGAAGCGATAATAAGAAAAGAACACACCGGATTTATAGTGGTTCGGTCAAACCTTGACCTACGTCCACTCCTTGGAGGCACCCTCCAAGTATTGCATTAAACAAGTGTCTCTCATTTAGCCCCCACAGCTAGGTGGAGAAGCCCTTACAGAATCACTTCCACCTTCCCCGGTGCGACGGAGTCGCCAGGTCCTTTGACACCAAGGAGATCTTCCTCTTTGGTGAACTTACCTCGAGACAAGTCTTGAATCCGATGGTACTAAGGTGCGAGTTCGCCGGAGCAACCATGTGGAATCCCCTCCACACTCCCTTGAGTTCCTCCCCCTCATAGGATCTTCTCCCTCTCAAACTCCACCCTTTCCTCTCTCCCTTTCAAGCTCTCTCTTCAAGTTTCTCCCACAAGAATAAAGCTCCAATGGCTGCCAAAGACACTTACAAAGTGCCTTGTCAAGCTTAAATAGAAGCACTCAAAACGAGCTCATTAATGCAAGTTGCCGACATTATCGTCCAGGACAATAGGCATATAGTCCTGGCCGATTAGTTCAATTTCATCTCAACGGCGTGGGACGATTTGGGATGATCAGAAGAAAATTGGTTATATCGTCCTGGCCGATCTCACGATCATCCCGGCCGATCTCACGATCGTTCCGGCAGATCTCACGATCGTCCCGGCCGATTAGTTTAAAATAGATTTTAATCGTCCTGATCATCGCCCTGAATTTGAGCTGTCCGATGTAGATCGTCCAGGACATCATCCCGGCCGATCAGGCGATCGTCCCAGCTGATGTGATCGTATCAATCAACCAATAATTCTTTCCAAAGATACCAGATCAATTTAGCCATAATTGAGTTAGATCGGCCTGGACGATATAAATATCGTCCTGACCGATTTCCTAAAATAAAGAATTCCTAAACTGATAATGACGGTTGATTCTTTCTGAATTAAGACTATCATCCTGGCCGATACATGTATCGTCCAGGACGATATCAATGACAGCTTCCTTAATGAGGATGCCCTAATTAGAGTTTCTGATTTTGGACATAACGTCCAGGATGATATAAATATCATCCCGACCGATATTACCAAAAATAGAAATCTTATAGAGGACAACAGGAAATCTTCCAAGTTACAAATCAACAGATCCCACACCAAATACAATAGACTCAAGAAAGGAAAAAAAATTACAAACTGACACACACCTAGTCTACCCAATCTTGAGCTAGTTCCAAATTGCAGTCTGATCGTGTGGACCTGAAACGTTAGCACAAAAGATAATCGTAGAGAAATAAGGAATGTTTGCTATCATCAAAATCATAAACCATTGACCCGCAACAATCTTCCCCTTTTTGATGATGGCAAATAATTCAAATTGAATTTTCAAAAAGAATAATTTCTCCTAATC